CTTTAGCTTAGCGGTGGTGAAGTCATGTGACCGTGCTGTAGTTCCTTTATAGCCCAACATTAGCCGCCTTTAGCTTAGCGGTGGTGAAGTCATGTGACCCTGCTGTAGTTCCTTTATAGCCCAACATTAGCCGCCTTTAGCTTAGCGGTGGTGACGTGAAGTCATGTGACCGTGCTGTAGTTCCTTTATAGCCCAACATTAGCCACCTTTAGCTTAGCGGTGGTGACGTGAAGTCATGTGACCGTGCTGTAGTTCCTTTATAGCCCAACATTAGCCGCCTTTAGCTTAGCGGTGGTGAAGTCATGTGACCGTGCTGTAGTTCCTTTATAGCCCAACATTAGCCACCTTTAGCTTAGCGGTGGTGACGTGAAGTCATGTGACCGTGCTGTGTGAAGTCATGTGACCGTGCTGTAGTTCCTTTATAGCCCAACATTAGCCACCTTTAGCTTAGCGGTGGTGACGTGAAGTCATGTGACCGTGCTGTAGTTCCTTTACAGCCCAACATTAGCCACCTTTAGCTTAGCGGTGGTGACGTGAAGTCATGTGACCGTGCTGTAGTTCCTTTATAGCCCAACATTAGCCACCTTTAGTTTAGCGGTGGTAACGTGAAGTCATGTGACCGTGCTGTAGTTCCTTTATAGCCCAACATTAGCCACCTTTAGCTTAGCGGTGGTGACGTGAAGTCATGTGACCGTGCTGTAGTTTGTAGCCTAACGTTAGCTTTTCACTTTTGTAGGTTACATTTATGCTTTTAAAAATCATAAGATATGTGATATAAGCCTTTTATTGACCTCATCCTGGATATGCTTCTCTTCTCAGTTGAAGTACGCCCGGCCCGGTCTGCCTGCCTTCAGTCAGGAGGTTCTAAGGAAGTGGAAGAATGAGGTGAAGCTGCAGAGGAAGGTCCAGTGTCCCAACCAGGTAACACAGCATCACGCTTGGTCCTTCATATTTGGTTCTATTTCTATTAATCTCAGGATTTGTATCAATTCCTAACTAAGTGCAGAACCCAGGATGTAACTTGATACGTGTCTTCCTCAGGGTTGTTGCTCCGTCTACACCAGTGTGTCCGGACTCAAAGCTCATCTGGGACTCTGCAACAAGGTACGTCAGCTTTCTTCTTTAACTCTGAAATATAATATGCAGCAGAGTACAAATCCCATGCATAGTCAAGTCAATATTAACATGTATTTAAACATGTTCCAGTCTTTGATTACAAGACATTTGGCTTTTTTTCTGGATAAACAGGAATATCTAAGTAGGTATCCATATCTTCGTGATGTAATACAGACGTTCTGCTTACAGTATGATGACAATACAGATGCAGTGAATAGTTAAGATTACGAGGTACAACATATTTAAGGGCATCATAATCCTTTCATGTCTCTTTGGTTTCTTCTCATCTCAGGGCGACTTTGAGGCTGGAAAGTACAGATGTCTGATCTGCAACAAAGAGTTTAACTCTGAAAGTGGAGTGAAGTACCACATCAACTCTGTCCACTCTCAGGTAAAACCCCTCCTCTCAAACAGGTCTCTTTAACCTTGCTTACAGAATAAATATGAATGTTTTCTCTCTGGTTAAACACCTGCACTTTGACAGAACATCCATAACATTCATCTGTTTGCAACTTACAAATTATTTATCTAATATATCATATTCCAACTACTTGTATATATACTCTCCTTGCACTATTTCTATTTTATTTGTATTTACTTGCACTATTACCAGTTGTATTGTGTTGCACTGTTGAAGGAGCCTGTGACCTAAGATTTTCATTGACATATCTACACTGTAGCTATGTACACATGACAATAAAAGCCTTGAATCCTTGAATCCTTGGTTGTAGACTACATTAAATCTAAATTTCCCCTCCTCCTCTCTAACAGGACTGGTTTGTGACGAACAAAAAAGCCTCCAAGAAGTTTGAGAAGTTCCTGAAGAACCAGCCCAAGGAATTCATCCAAAACGTGGACAAGCAGATCGTAGACCAGTACCACCACCATCACACACACCATCAACACCACGTACACCAGTACCAGCAGCACCCAGAGGTGGGTACCTGTACTTTCTACTTCTCACATGTTGAACACAAATACCTGTACTTTCTACTTCTTACATGTTGAACCCAAATACCTGTATTTTCTACTTCTTACATGTTGAACTCAAATACCTGTACTTTCTACTTCTTACATGTTGAACACAAATACCTGTACTTTCTACTTCTTACATGTTGAACACAAATACCTGTACTTTCTACTTCTCACATGTTGAACACAAATACCTGTACTTTCTACTTCTTACATGTTGAACACAAATACCTGTACTTTCTACTTCTTACATGTTGAACACAAATACCTGTACTTTCTACTTCTTACATGTTGAACACAAATACCTGTACTTTCTACTTCTTACATGTTGAACTCAAATACCTGTACTTTCTACTTCTTACATGTTGAACTCAAATACCTGTACTTTCTACTTCTTACATGTTGAACTCAAATACCTGTACTTTCTACTTCTTACATGTTGAACACAAATACCTGTACTTTCTACTTCTCACATTTTCCAAACAGGCTGGTTCCTTTAGTCTGAATGTGTGTTTGGTGGCGTGATCATTATTATTTAGAGTCATTGCGTGCCTATTGATTTGAACACGATCCGTGTATCCATCATTTCCTGGTCTTCTCTAAAGAAGAGGGACCAATGAAAACGTTGTCATGTTGCCGTTGGTCACCATGGAAACATTCATTAGCTAACAATGACATTATTGTTCTATTAATATAAAGGGAGGTCAGGTACTCTTTAAAACAGCTGCTAGTTATGGGTACTTTTTACTGAAGTACATTTCAAAGCCTCTTTACTTTGACTTGAGGAAAGAAGTTTAGTCAGTACTTCTACTTTTACCAGAGTATTTTTAAACACGAGTATCTGTACTTCTACTTGAGTAAAGGATGTGTGTGCTTTTGCACCCCATTCAGCACCCTCATCAGTCCATGCAGCACCCTCTTCAGCCGCTGCACCACCTCCAGCACCAGCACCACCTCCAGCACCAACATCAACACCTGCACCCAGAGAACCAGCACCTCCATCAGCAGGCGGAGCAGCCCGCGCTCCACTACACCTCTCTGGAGCCTCCTCCTGGGTCCATGTGGGTGGAGATGGAGCGGATCGGAGCCATGCCGACACCGGAGCAGGCTCCTTTAGAGATGGAGACGATGGTGGATGGAGGCAAAGAGGACGGGATGGTGGAGGGGAAACGGAGGAAGAAGGAGGTGGGGATGGGTGACGGGAAGCAGAAGGATTGCTTTGCTTTTGGAGGTGGAGGTGGAGGTAATACTGTCAGCCAATCAGAGGTGGAGCAGCAGGACAGGCGGAGACACGTTGACCAGTGGAACCCGAAACGACCCGGCATCATGGAGACTAATCCTGAGGCTGGGAAAGGACAGAGGAACACTTAAAATAACACTAAATACTTAACAGAGGTGGAAAAAGAGACCGTGGACACTTAAAAATAACACTTAACAGAGACCATGGAGTGTCCCTCCGTCCTTTATTAGCCGTGACGTAGAAGAAAACGAACCACGGGACAAACAAGGTGAGAAGGCAGCTGGTGATTTAACGTTTTTAAAAAGTGGATGAAATGATGGAAACCGTCCCAACATCCTAACATGGATAAATGAGACGCTTCGGGTTCGGAGACTGTCGTGAAGTGGTCGTCATTGTATAGAGAACTGTAGTATCTGTGTTTATCTGTAATAGATTATTTTCTGCAACTTTAAACGTGTCCTATTCTTTTGATAAACCCGTCTTTCATGTTTACCTTAAAGGGAAACATTAAGAGAGGCTGCTAACAGGATTTTAATAGACTCTGAAAATATAAATAATATTTTGTGCCTCTTAAACATATGATTTGTATATTTTCATACTACTCATCTTTACTTTTACTTACAACTTATTGGCCTTTTCTGGGAGTAGGGAAGTTAGAAATGTCACTTTTTCTGGTATAATTGGATAGCAAAAGGATTCCCCTCCCCATGCTCCTTCCCCTTTCATCAGTAGGTTTGATTTTATTGACAGGGAAAAGTTCATGGCTAGCATCAAGAAGCCGTTTTTAAACTAAGACTGGTTGCAGCTCCTTGTCCAGTTATAGTAGTTAAAGCAGGCAAATCAAGGAAGCAAATTCAAGGCAAATACAAAAAAAGTAAAGACTTGAGAAAACCCAAACCACTCTTTTGGAGTACAGAACAAAACAATATCAAAAGATGACAAATTACTTTAATTGTATTCCCATTTGTTTGGAAGTCCTTAGAAGCAAATGTGAGTCAAACAAAGACTAGTCCTTTTTAAAGCAGCTCATGTCAGCCCACCTCTCGATATCACACCCCTAACACTCTCAATATCTACTTTCCAAAACACAGAAAACAACAATATAGGTTTGTCAAGAAGGTAACATACTTGATGTGATTACTTAGAGTTTAAATCTGCCCCAAACAGACAATAGTTTTTAGTTGTGTTCCAACACTCCGAATCCATTTCTTTTGAGTTAGCTATAACACAAATCTAAACCAAGGGAAGATCCAAACCACTCTGGTTGAGTACAGAACAACAGCAAGAAAAGACAAATTGCTTTAAATGTATGGAAGTCTTTAAAAGTAAATGTGATATGAAATAATCTGATGCCCAAAATGTTGGACTAGTCCTTTAAAATGTCAGCCTATATCAGGATATTATACTCTTAACACTCTCAATATCTAGTTTCCAAAACACAGAAAACAACAATATAGGTTTGTCAAGAAAGGTAAAATACTTGATGTGATTATTTGCAGTTTAAATCTGCCCAAAACAGCCAATGTGGAACACTCCGAATCCATTTCTTTTGAGTTAGCTATAACACAAATCTAAACTAATGGTATTTTTACCAGTTTTTCTTAGAAAATAGTGACATATTTTCATTTTCCTCAGCATATGTAGCTCTGTTTAACATACATATAATAACAACTGCTCTTGAACTAGTGAGTAAGAAGACCTTTTATTAAGATGCGTTTTCCATGATATTAATGATTCTAACTTAGGTTTTTAAATCAGTTTCAAACATTCCAGGCAGGAGTTTATCAGCCGTGAAAAGTGAAATAAAGCACATTAATATAATTGGTTCTAAGTGGCTGTTAACAAAACAACATATAAATGTGACTGTGACGGTAACTGTGACGAAGGAAAGCTAACACACAAAGCATTTAACACGGAGGGCGACTGTTTGTCTTTCTGTTTATTTAGAGACAGAATATATAACCGATAGCATGTAGCTTAATGTTCATACTTATGCATTTTGTATCTACTACAGTGAGTTATGGATGGTTGTCAGTCATACGTTGGTGTCGTCTTAACAATATTTGTTTTTTTACAACTTAAAAGCATTTCTCAATGTATTAATTTCCCCCTCTGTTGTGCACTTCTTAAACCACTTTCCTTCCTTTAAAAAGAAAAAGGAACATTGGTTTATCACCCATGATTAGATTCCTATATTTACTGATTCTGGTTATAGTGCTTTACCCGTCATTAACTTTCATCAGATGAGTTTGAAATGGAAAACCTCCTTGGACATGGGAAGTATTTCAAAAAGCAGGTCAGGCAGTGGTGGAGAACATGCAAATATCTATTTAGGACCATTGTATTCTCACCTTAATGTCTATTTACTTAAAAGAAAGTAATGAAAACGCTTTTTTAATAGAAGAAATGTTTTTTTGTTTTGTTCCTTTTGCCTTTGGTGCTAGCATGTTGCAGCATTTAATAAGACTTTTTGATTTACTAAGTTTTTGATTAATTAGCTGCTTTTAGTCTTTGTTTAGACACTGTATGTCTAGTTATTATTTTAAATAATTATAATGTGTAATACTCATCAGTTTAATTCATTACCTAAGTCATTGGATTTCAACGTTATGGCTTGTGACCCCTTGAAATGAATGGTATCTTCTTGCAACCCATCGGCAGTCGTTGCATGTTAGGGATGCAGCTAACGATTATTTTCAGTCTTTGAATATTAGAAAATTGTTGAAAACATCCATCCTATTTTCTCAAAGTCTAAGGGGATGTCTTTAAATGTCTTGAATTTTCAGTCCAGAATCTAAATGTATCCAGTTTAATGGGATGTCAAATATAAAAGCATGAACAATCCACATTTAAAAACGCGGAAAACAACATTTTATACAATTTTTACTTTTCAGAAATAAGGTTAAACTCTCCTTGCTTTGGAAATACTTCCCATGTCCTCTTATGCTTGTGACCAAATCGTTATCACTATGTGCGCACTTTGAACAGTTTCATAGCACAAAGGGAAGGAGCTCTTACAAGTGACCTGCTTTGTTATCAAGAAAAAGTCAAAGCATTAATATTTTAGTGCAATTTCGTACCAGTAATTCAAGAAGTGAAACTCCACATTTCATTTTTTCCCGGTCATTTGCACTTTTTGTCTCACTGCTGTCTCATCCTTTCATCTTAATGCTGGAGTACATAACTTGAATCCAGATTAATTCAAAAATAGTACGCCTGTATTGTTAAATGTTTTGTATTTTAGTGCCAAGAGAGGAGCTGCCATACTGTAGGCAATAGAAACCAAAACGATTACATTATGAAATGTATTTTTTTGTATTTAATAGAGAGGACTAGTGAGAGGCATTCAATATAATTCCAATTACGTGGGCTGAGTTTTTTTTAAATAGTGTTGTTAACTGTGCAGTAGAGAAGCTCTGTGAATTAATGAAACATGAAGAAAATAATGAGAATGTGTCCTGATGTTTTTAGCCTCATCCATACAGACAATAATACAGTTTATATTACCTTGGTCATATTTGAATAACTGTTCAGTTAATAATCTTGTATTATTTGTAAACACACAAAGAAAGCACTTAATTTGTCCATGTGTAATTAGTTATAACCTCAGTGTTATAAATCTGTACATTTAAAATGTTACTACTTGTTTTTTAGAAGTTACGTGCTGCTATTCCATATTACCAGCATTGTTATAACCACAGATGATTAAAAGTTTAATTAATGGTCGTTTTGGGCTCTGTGTCTTCATTAACAATGATGTGGGGAATGAACGTGTCAAATACTGTTACAAGTAAAACTCTGAATCAAAATGTTACTCAAGTAAAAGTAGAAAAGTATTCTCATCAAAATATAGTGAAAGTAGCGACAGTAAAAGTAGTCATTGTGCAGATTGTTCCATTTCAGAATAATATATGATATGTTTTAGAATGATTGACCATTAAGGTGTTCTCAAAGCTGGTAAAGGTTCAGCTAGTTTGAATGACTTTGTATACTGCTAGGTACATCTACTTAGGGGCTTCAAATATTTACAAAAAAGTCATAAAAACATGATTTGAGGACTAAATAAACCTCTGCAGGTGTTGATATTGAGTGAGGCTCTAACTCTCACAGGTGTAGTTCCCTGCTCCGCTGATATGGGGCGGTGTGTTTCTCCACGCTGTACAGTAACATGACGGTCTGATGTCAGCAGAATGTGAGTTTCAGAAACCGGAATCAGGTTCAAACAAGGCGGCGGGGACTGTCAATATTGTACCGTACGGGAAAGAATAACGACTACACACAGATGCCCGTTATTTCTCCACGGCTCCGGTGATATTACACGGGTTACTTCACGCTAGCAGATTTGGGACTCGATCCCGTGTGACCGGATTCTAGTTTCCCCGGACTCGGTACGAGGTTTTTCAGCCTTTGCCACCGGACCGGGAAGCCTCTGGTACATGAAGGGTGAGGTTTTAAAGGTTATCAGTATTATTATTTGTGACGTTTATCGGTTACCGGACGGTTTTAGGAGTCACTTAACGGCAGTAAAGGAAGCACCAACGGCCACTTTAGCCTGTTAGCATTAGCTTTGTGATGCTAGCATGATAGCTGACGAGTCACCGGGAAAACACATGTGAAACAAAACAATTGTAACTTGATATGTATTATCCTTGTAACATATGCCGAATTGATAAGTGGTTAAAATTCATTCGAAATTAATAGTTTATATCTAGTTAATAGTCCATTTACCCGTGAAAGATACACAATAGCATAGAATTATCACTGCTTATTATTCTCAGAAATCGGCAAAACAAATGCGAAACAAAAGTATTAAAACAATTGTTAATTTGATATGTATGATACTATAAACATATGCCGAATTGATAAGTGGTTAAAAGTCATTAGACATCTTTATCTATTGACCCATTTAAACTTGAAAGTACTGAAGATAGCAAAGAATTATCATAATACTCCACGAGATTTGGTTTAATATTCTCAAACAACGCGATAACATGCCTGGCTCTTAAACTCCACGTTTCCTTACAACATATTTGTACTGATAATATTGACTTAGTAAGCTTTCAGGTTGTTTAAAATACAATAAAGACGTTGCTTGCAATGTTGTTGAATTGTGTCTGTCAGTCCAGAGACACACTGAGCTACTATGATGAAATATTCCTGTATGTGTCACTGTATACCTCTTTAAGTAATTGAATCCTCAGTAGTTTGTACTATATTCTCAGATATCATACTTCTCAGATGTGGTTTGGTTGATATATCTGTCTTCATTTTGGTTTATTCTCTCAGTAGGAGCTCATCCAGAGTGATACACTTGCTCCATACATGAGGAGGCTCCTGACAACACCACCACAGCACAACAAACCCAGGGCCTATGGATCCTGTTGACTCTGGACAAGGTAATACAGGCAATCGCACCTAAAGATATCACATAATATCTATTTGAAAGGTGCAATGTCAAGATACTGTTGCAATAGAAACTAAAATTGCATGTTGTTGACTCCTGCGGTCAGTTATGGAGGAGCACTTTGAGTTTCAGAATAGCAACACTGTTTATACTAATGCATAATAATCAGGATGATAAAAATCTCTGAAGCTGTTTGGTCTCAATCAAATATTGTGTTAAATGTTTTATTACTGGATTGATCGTATAGCCAAGTGGTTAGGGCACAAGTCTCTGTGCTAATCTCAGAGCATTGAGTCCCTGGTTCAATTCCTGGCTGGTAACTGTGTGTCGTAACTTTCCAAAATATGCTGTTCCTTCTGTGTCTTTATAAAACAATCACGTCCCTTAATCATGCGTGCAGACGTTCACAATATTGTTTAGATAGATAGATACTTTATTGATCCTAATTTGGGAAATTATTTAATCATAGAAGCAGAAGTGTGTTCAGACATTCAAATATAATACTTTAAAAAGTGGAAAAGATAATTAACAATTAAAAATAAAATGAAAAATATTAACAATATAAACAAAACAATATAAAATATTCTGGATAATTAAAATCAAAGTAAAAATGCTACAGGATCCAACATAGCATTATATTCTGGTATTTAGTGTATTCATAGCAAGTAACTCTTGACGGTGAATTGCATAGTCTTTTATCGTAAAGCTCAAGTTTTTCAATTGTGGTTTTGATACATTTCAATGATTTCTACATACTATTTCTCTAATGTCTTCACTCTCCCCGCAGGGCCAGACCAGGGTTGCCACATATCACCCAGCTCCAAAGGACGACAACGCAAGAAAAATCCAAAATATTTGGATTATGAAACTGAAGAGGTGACCAATGTGCAACGCTCCCCGCGAAAAAGACAGAGCTCAGGAAGAGGAAAAGGAGCAGCTTCTGAGAAGTCTCCGGTAAAGAATGGAACTAATGAGGATACCACACAACAGACTGAAGACGGGGGTCAAGACGAAACTGACAAAACACTTTCAGAGTCGGATGAAACTCCTAAAAAGGCCGTGAGAGCGAAGAAGACTCCGGCCAAAAAGACTCCGGCCAAAAAGACTCCGGCCAAAAAGACTCCGGCCAAAAAGACTCCGGCTAAAAAGACTCCAGCTAAGAAAACCCCCGCCAAACAAACTCCCACCACTGATGAGAGTCTCCCAACTGATGAGAGTCTCCCAACTGATGAGGGTGGGATTGTAGATGCTGTGCAGGAGGAAAATGGGACCCCAAAGCCTAAGAGAAAGTATGTGAAGAAGCAGCAGCCTGTAAAGGAAGTGGTGATAGAGGAACCGCCGAATGAAGCCGAGGAGGAGACGACGCCGAGCGGACGCCGCAGGAGAGGAGCGGCTAAAGTGTGAGATACACAGTTTAAACTTTATTACTTAGCAAGTGACAAAGGTGCAAACATACATATACACTTTAAAAATGTTCAATTGAGCATTTGTATAATGTATATTTAAGCAATAGCTCACGACAGGCCGTGGTATATGCTAAGGGGGTTACTTCGCGTCGGGCCGAACCACGCCCCTTAGCTGTGATATAATGAGCATATATCAAGGCCTGAAGGGTTACCAAATGAAAGAAAAATACACACTCTAATTTAAATAGTTTTTATTAGTAAATAATGATGTTCAAAATAAAATAGTCCCTCCGTTGCCTTCTGCACAAAACATAGTGCAAGGTGGTTGCTATGCAACAACACTAACAGCAAGCGAACATTAGACAGAGAGGTTGATCCATTATTTGGCTGTTTATTTACATTAATGTGTATGTTGCCGTTTATTGTGCATCCACTGAAAAACTGTCCAGCATCAGTAGAATGGCTTACGTGGTCACTTAGTTCCTTTATAGCCCAACATTAGCCACCTTTAGCTTAG